ATAGATAGATAGATAGATAGATAGATAGATAGATAGATAGATAGATAGATAGATAGATAGATAGATAGATACTTCTGTCATGTTCTCATCATGCACTAAATAATAATATTGGCACTGAAAATCAGAAGTATGGAAGCATGGTTTCTCCCATTGACTTTACTTGTCAGGAGGCCACAAAAGGGGATCACATCACCCCAGGACACTGCAACCGTCATAAATGTGAGTCAGTTGCCAAGCAGCTGAATTTTGGTCATGTGACCACAGTGACACTACAATAGTCTGAAGTATAAAAAATAGTCATTAAAAATAGTCATTTTTTTTCAGTGCTGCCATAACTTTGAACGTCCACTACACAAACTGTTGTGAGTCAAGGACTACTGTATTGGACCTAGCTACAGAAGCCAAAAGTTAAAAAAAAATGAGTGCCTTCATCAGCTGGAAAAGAAAAAGTCTAGCCCACGCTGTTTCACACATTGAAAATAATCTAAAAGCTGCTTTATGCAAATAATATACGTGTGAAGAAATAATGGAGACTAAGTGAGTCTGTTCTTCACGCTTGTACATCTCTCATTTTAGAGCACTGCATCTGGCTTTTTATGCCTCTTCCTTAGTAAGTGATAACTTACGTTCTTTTTCTTTTTAACCATTACAATGTGTGTTCTCACTTAGGAATATTTGAGTTCTTCAATAATAAACATGCTTATGTTGCCATGGGAACATTGTCACTTTTGGAAATGATAATTATGTGTTGGAATGCCAAGGAAATCTATACTGCCATCGTGCTGACATGAGGAACCAATAGATATTCATCTGTAAGTCATTAAGGACCATTTATTTATGGGAAAAAAGAAGCCTCGGCTATACATTTATATATAAAGGAGAAATTGAAAATTGCACCTGAGCAGACAATTGACAGTATTGCTTCCTGTCCCAAGATTTTCTGTAATAAGAGAGGCAATAGGTTTTTTTTAAACTCCTTATATTGCTGAAATAATTGTGTAAAAGACATTGTAAAGGCGAAGAAATGTCTGAAATTAATTACACTGTACAGTAATAAGGTTTATTTTTCAGAACAATTATTGTTTGGCTTGTTCTCTGCATATTCTTGCAACTCCTTCATTTACAGAAATTATCATGTCAGCAAGTTTCCTACTTCAGCTACTTTACATTCTGCAATTGTGTTAGCTTGATTGCATAGACTACCTGCATTTTTCGGTTGCTCATTGCATTGCAACAAGAGGAACAACTTCAGTCTTCCCGCAGTTGCTTCCTGTTACCTGAAGAATCAAAAGAAAATGTAACACAATGTGGGGAAAATAGATTCCCCCCCCCCCAATAAAATTTTCCAGGAACTCATATACAATTTGTGGCT